TTCTTACCTTTTGCTTTGGTCGTGCCAGTCGCCTTTGCCTGTGATGCGTGTTTCTTCTTCGCCGCCCTCTTCGGTGTTGTTATCTCTGCCGCTGTCGCCATGTCAAACTCAGCTTTGTCATTTCCTTGGTCTTCTCCCGTTTCCACGTAATCTTCATCTCCGCTGTCACTCCCATCCTCATCAGCAGAAGCAGCATCGGCAGCAAGCTCTTCTGCATACAATGCTGCGACAGGCGCCTTCCCTTTCAATCGCGGCGCTCTTGTCAGCAAGTTGTAGTACCCCACTAGTGCACCCTTCTTCTGGTACGTAGCTGGAGCAGGAGGCTTGCGTGAAGCCACTGCCATCCATGGCCGCCTTCCAGTCGCTGCTGACGTAGGAGCTGAAACAAGCGGTTCACCCGCAACGTCGTCGCCAAAGTCAGCATCGCGGTCATGCGTACCGTCGACACACGCACGGCGCTCTTCAAGCAGCCGGGCGCGTTCTGCGCCTTCCTTCCCGTCGAGACGACGCAGGAACGCCTCCGCTTTAGCGCGCGTGACGCGGCGGGGAGGCATCTTGGTCCCGCGTTTCCTTTTGGAGAATGAATGGATGGCTCAGAGGCCTCTCGTTTGAAGCACTGTCTTTACGACAGCGTATCTCCAAGGAACTATCTCTTTACAGTAGGACCCCAAGCCCTGTACACCGGGGATTAAACGGACTAAACGCCCATTCTATGACAATCCTCACATGCTTGATTATCAAGCATGTGGAAAAAACCACATACTTCCTTATCAAGGCTTAGTAACGGAAGGGTTAAGGACCTACGCAGATTCCCTTTTTCGTTGAAAAGACCACTTTGAAGATAGAAGCGGTGAAACTTGTCCCAGCAGGTCCAAGTGCTCTGTGGGCAGGTGAATGGAGTTTCAGCGTCACCGTGCACAACTCGGCAAAGACACGCAGTGTGAGTTAAACAGTAATCGGTTACCTCAGTCGCGTATCTTCCTTCATAGCGACAGACAACGCACTCGCGCTTTCTCCTGCTCTTATTCTTGTACATTTGCTTTGACGATATCGCCGCACACTGCGCCGACGGAGTCGTTGTCGGGACCATCGATAAGCCTGTGCTTGAAGGAGTAGCACTGGGGGTGGCTGCTGCTTCTGTGGCAACGCTGCTGCCGAACGGCATTCGTTTGTCACTGGGCGCTTCTCGCCAACGACCCGAAAGGAGCTCTGATACTAAATCCGTAACAAACGTCCTGTGGGGGTCCCGATCTCTTGACGCATCGATTGCCATCCGCCGAGTCAAGTACGCGTTGGAACGTGCGATATCCACGAGTGCTAAGGCCAATTTTTTGTGCCAACGTTTGTAGGAATGACCATCAGCGATTGAGAATCTAGCACGTATCTGGTCCAAACGGTCAACCCCTTGCATGTGTTGATTGTATATTAAATACAGGTGGGGGCAGGAAATGCACATCTTGAAGCTCCAATTCGTCGTGTCACCATAGTGGTGGTAGATAGATCAGCATTGGTGACCATGGTGACAATGTTGCCGTCGCACCATGACGCCGCCAGCATGTTATGTTCGACAGTCACTGACTGCTGATAATACCCCGAGAGCACTCCTCTTTCTGCAGAACGGTGTGCTTAGCATAATGTTTGCTTCTGCCTCGCACTGTTCCTCGTCCATACAATCCCTTCAGCTCTAAATCCAGCAGCAGTTGGACGCTTGTGTAGTAGTTATCCATGTTGATAATCCGTCGAGAAAAAAAGTATGGCCGCACCACTTCAAGTACATGTTTGCGTACTTGTTGGACATCCTCTAGCT